CAGATATGAATGTACGTGAGAAAATCATGGAAAATTGTTGTTTAAAAACAGTAAAATAGACCTTGCTAACCGAACGCTCCTCTGTGGCGAAATCGGTAAAAGCACGTCAGGCTATATGACGGCTCCATATAGGATACAGGTTAGTTTCTATGAAAATTTCTCGGTCATTCAGGCCGGTAAATGTTGTTAATACTGTTTATTATAAACAGAGCATTTACTTAAATATTTGTATCTATAAAAAGAACGTATAAACATAAAAAATGTCTTAAGAAATAATTGTCGGACTTTGTCCATTTCATAATGTGTGACGTCATATGTTTACATTTGGATACGCATTGAGCAGATACGAATGTATGAGAGAAAATCATGAAGAATTGTGCTTAAAAGCAGTAAAATCGACCTTGCTAACCTTGCTAACCGAACGCTCCTCTGTGGCACAATCGGTTAAGGCACGTCAGGCTATATGACGGTTCCGTATAGGATATATGTTTGATTCCTTTCGATTTTCTATGAAAATTTCTCGGACATTCAGGCCGGTAAATGTTGTTTAATACTGTTTATTATAAACAGAGCATTTACTTAAGTATTTGTATCTATAAAAAGAATGTATAAGCATAAAAATGTCTTAAAAATATATATATTATTATTATAAAGAGAAAGAACAGTAAGATATATGATCCGATGTTCTTATTTTTATTTTTACAAGACAATACTCAATGCAAATCTACAGCGCCTAGGTACGTTGAACGGATGTCATCATTCGTTTGAAAAGGCACCCCTACCCTACCTTGACTTCACCTCTTTTTCCAAAGTAACTCATAATTTTTTATACAATAGTTGTCAGTGAAAAAGAATACCCTACCGCCCCTTTGTTAAAATGATTGGATTTCGCCATATCCATAGAAACAAAAATTATGAACTTATTTGCTTATAAAACTCAATAAATTACAAAATGAGTTATTACAAAATTCGCTTGAAAATCAAACAGAACTAGAGATTTTAATTTAATTTAATTCTCTAATTGAATTTGAAGTTTTTAGATTCTGTTTTTTGAAACACGGTTATTCCTGGAACCATATTTTTATATATATATATATATATATATATATATATATATATATATATATATATATATATATGTATGTGTGTGTATGTGTGTGTGTCTACCATTCCTCCATGCATTGAATCTTGCTGCTACATCTGGTCAGCTGCTTTATTTCGAATTTCTTATTTACATTCTTCAGACTGTTGTATTCATCCTCATTGCTATATTCATTTATTTTGTCGCTCAACAATGGACGCAACATGATCTTCCCAAACACAACGACGAGAAAATATCGAGCACAAAAGAATAAATAATAGTTCTTATAGTTCCCAGACTTTTTTAATTTAAGCGCAGTACTAGACTGGCATCAAGATCTCATTAATTTACAGGTAAGCTGGCTAGATGTAGCCGGAACTTGTATGCTAACATTTTCTTTTCTCGCACTTCTCGCTTGTGGAACTCACTTCGGGTTTCATGCTTTCCAGCCAACTTTAATCTGCAAAAATTTGAATACAATGCCAATCACTATCTATTGTCTTCCTGGTTGTTCTTTTTTCTTCCTGCTCATTATTAATGTTTCTGTTCCTAATTCTTCCACACCCAGTAACTCCTTGTGTCTTAGTGGCTTTACTGCCTTGCTTGGGGGAGATTCCGATTTAAAAAAAAAAAAACTGCCATATGTCTATATTTCTGAGATGAGGTATTGTAACTATTAATATTATCTCTAAGTGGCCCAGGGAATAAATGTGTTGGTTGAATATTTCAAAAAGAGACTTGAGCCAAAAAGTTGTAAGTTCAATCCCTGGCCACAGCAGAGGTGAACAAAAACTTGGAGAGTTGAGTTACTAAAGGAAGTTCACTGAAAAATGAAATATCCAGAAAGGGCGTGGCACGTGGAACTAGAATAATCTACCTCGGTGGAAGAAATAAAGGGTTCGGTTCGAAATTCCAATGTATGTCACCTGAAGAAGGCCAGAACGTACAGCTACCGAAACGTCATGAATATGGCAATAAAGATGAGAGCAATGTACATAGTGTAAATAGTTACTCATCTCAGAAATAGGGACAAATCTTGAAGAAGGCCTGAGCTTACAATGGTCGAAGCGTCATGAATATGGCAATAAAGATGAGAACAATATTCCGAACAATGTAAATAGTATAAATCGTTAAAAGAAGACCTGACGCTGGGTATGCCAACACAAAGATCAAAGAGAAAGACTTCAAGACCATCGTCAAAATAGATTGCAAACAATGGAATTTGAAGACTGAGTGCAGTCTTTCAATTCCATCGACTTTCTTTTTCAAGCCGATGCAAAACCCTCACCCTCAGAACTTTAACAAGAATTAACATGAATGGTAGACAATTACTTTAATCCATTCTGCAGTAGGTTTAAACTAACACCTTCTTTGATCGAAACTATAATCATTAACTATATATTCAGAAAGTTAAAACTTCCCTGAAATATGCTGGAAAATTTACAAGTTTTCATTTGTAAACAAGAAAATACGAACTTTAAGCAAAATAGTTACAAGAAAGAAATAAAGCGTCACTTTAAACAGACGACAGGAAGATATATTCATTAAACATTCAATATCAAAATACGGAAGCTAATCCATCAAGAAAAAACTATTTAAGATATTTCAGACATAATCATTGTTCCTTGTCTCTTCAACAAAACGTGCTTGAATATATATATATATATATATATATATATATATATATATATGGAATAACGGTACATGCACACACACACATACACACACACATACACTCGTGTGTGCATTCTTGTTTAATCAGAAGCACTTGTAATTTCACAGCCACCTCCCAGTATCGGCACATGTCCAAAGGAATAAAAGCACGCTTACACCTGCATATGTGTATATATGTTTATAGATATATATTTAGATAGAGGATTCATCCACAGATAATGTCTATCTCTCCCCCTCTCTCCCACCCTCTTTCTCTCTCTCACTCTCTCTCTCTCTCTTAGACACACATACACAGACGCACGACTCTGAGCGCTGATTTCCACGCGTGTGCATGCTTTCTCGCGTCGAGTTAAGCTGAAATTATAGAATCTCGATTGGTCGGCTCGTAAAAATAAAAATAGGAAACGAAGGCGGGAAATAAAACTTGGATGGGGAAGAAAAGCTTCAGACCTGAGATAAAAACTCTGTAGATCTTGTGTGTCAGCTAACCAATAAGAAAGGCCCAGAGTGAGTGCCACGCGACTGCAGGTACGGCAGCGTTTCGTCCAAATCCATTTGTTGCTCACAACTGACTTTTTCACTGACAGCGTCTCTCGCCGGCACTACCATCTTCTTCTGGTGAGTTACTTCTGATATTTTTTTTTTTCTTAAAATTCAAAACAACTTCTTGAATATATTTTTCAACAGAACAAAATCAAAATATTCCTGAAAATATTTAGTTTTTAATTTAAGTTTCAACTTATTTTTTAATTCAGATTTTTCTAAGTAGCTTTTTTTTCCTTTTAGATACTGTTCAGCAAACTTATCTAAGCGAAACATTTTAAAACAACGACTCATTTTCAAAAATAAACATTACAGTTTTAAACTATTTGAAATATTTCTTGACTATTTTACCGGCATTTTCTCAAAATCTTTCTTTTTTTTTTCAAACTTATTTAATCTTTTTTTTTTTTTAATTTAAATTTCACAATTTTTTTTTATTTGAATTCTTTGAATTTCAGTTCTTTCTCTTTATATATTTCTCTTTCCATGAAGTTCTTGAATTTTCTTGTTTTATTTCTTATTTCATCAATTATTATCTTACACCAAATCAAAATGAACATTTACTAAACCTTAAAATACTGTTTTACTGAAAAGCTCAAAAGTTCAAATACTTACATTTTTATTTGTTGCATATGTAAAGATAAGTTATTTGGAAATATAAAAAATAAAAAATGTATTGATTTTTTTTTTTTTTTTGCATTCACAAAGTTAGTTTTTATATTTTCCCTTCAGAATCAAAATAATGTATTTTCTTTAGAACTTAGATTTTGGATTTTAAATTTAATTATTTTAGCTTTTTAATTGAAAAAAAGATCCGAAACAGAATCAAAAATTTTCGGCGAAAACAAACTGAACGAGAAACCATTATCGTGAGAGTTATTTCGATTTGAATCTGTTTTTACATCTTCAACAACTTTGTAAAAGTTGCCTCCAAACTTCCTTGTTTTCTGCTCAGTCAAGAAATGACTGAAGATCTTTCAAATTCTTCTAAGTTTGATGGGAACAATGGAAATTATTTGATAATTATTTTAAAGTCCTTCTTCAATGTGCAGACAATGGTTTTTCGTCCAATGTCTATGGATGTTATTCTTCCATTTGTTATTTGATAAAAAAGTAATTTCTGTAATATTCACTGTTTCCAAATGTATTATTAACTTGTTTTATGGTTTTTTTTATAACTATGATAACAATAGCAAGTCGTTGTTTGATTTTGCATTTTTGGAGACAACATGACTTTATAACAATCAACGTCCCTGGCTAATAATTCCAAATATTCTTTTTTTTTAAAACACCCGAATGGTAAAAAATCTTTATAGGCAATTGGAGACATTTACAAAGTTTTAAATAAAAACTTGACAGCTTTTAACGGTTGACAGCTTCTACATAAAAAAACAAAAACTAACAAACAAAAATGATGGTTTTTGTATGTTCATGACCAACAAAATTCAAGTCATTTTCTTTTACCCTATTTTTTTTTTCTCTTGGGCGGGTTCCTTGTAAACGTCTTCAGCACATCAGAAACAAAGACACTTTTTATTCGATGAATTAATAAGCCTCACTAACCCGGCTAATGATAGATCGCTTGACACTGAGACAAAAGCGCCTTATTCAATATTCCTTTCTGGATATTTCTTGACAAAATATCTCTTCTCTTCTTCTTCCTCCTCCTCCTCCATCTTCTTCTTCTTCTTCTTCTCCTTGCTTACGGCCACATCACGTTGAAACACTGATTCTCGTATGATCACTGAAGTTAAGCAACGTCGCGCCTGATCAGTACGTAAATGGGTGATCGCTCCGGAAAACCAGGTGTTGTAAGCTTAGATGTTCGAAGCGATGGTTTACGGCCACATCACGTTGAAACACCGATTCTCGTACGATAACCAAAGTTAAGTAATCTCCACTCTGAAATACCAGGTGTTGTAAGCTTGGGTGTGCGGGTGGTGTAATGGATAATGGCTCAGAATTGTTAATCGGAGAGCCGAGTTCCAATTGCAGTTGGGTTCGTTATATTCACTTACGCACAAACACCCTTGTGGAAAGACATGAATCCGCCTCTTCTTCCCCCAGCTATGGGTTAATTAGTAAGACGTATCACTAAATCATTATTTTCAACACAACAAAATTCTTACAATCTAAAAATATTTTCTGGCTTTAAATAAACTGCAAAGGGTTGATAAGCCGTAAAAAAACGAATCGATCAATCAACCTTCTTCCATTTCGCCTTCTTTTTCAACCCTCTTTTCTTTTCTCTCTCTCGCAGTCGTTTCTGAGTGCTGACTTCCACGATGTCGCATTCAGAATGGTTCTATTCAAGGGCAGATTCTCTCTGTCTTGTATTTAAACCAAGATTACCACAAAAGTTCAATTGAAAATATCTTCATCAACCATTTTTTTTTTACAATTAGTTTTTCGATTTCGTCTTTCAGTTTAGAGAATTTCAGCTCCACATTGCATAAAAAATTTCGTTTGACATCAGCAACAAATTTATATCTGTTTTTTAACAATGTCCCCCCTATACATGCCCCAAGAGCCACTCAAGTTAGAGAGACTGAAAAACTAAACAAACGTTTCCAATGTTGATTTTACAAGTATAGAAAATGTAACAATGAATCAAAAAACAAAAAATATAACATCTGCACAAAATATCTTGTTCACGTAATATAAGGCACAAGTGCCACTCAAAGTAGCGTTATTAGACGAGGTTATTGCACAAGAGGAAGGGAAATAGGTAAGAAGCGAAGTGTCTGCTGATATCTGGGGAAGATAACGATTAAACCTAGACTTGAACAAGTTAAGATTGTAGTTGTTGGGAAAGCATTCGGTCCGTAGTCGGTTCCGTAAAATAGCGTTTCGTGGGAAGAATCTGTTCGAGTGGATTTTTTTTCTTTACTAATGGAATACGAAGGAAATAAGGATGATGTGTGATAGGGTATGGTGGGTCTTAGATTGGGAAGGTCTGAACTGGTGGAACTAAGGAATGTAACTCATCAGAATATTTTCCATGGAAATAGCGATAGAGTAGAGAGAGCCTTGTAATGTTTCGAATATGGGGAAACGAGTTGTAGGGTAGGAAATAATTTATCACCCACAAGGCAGCGTAAACGCGTTTGAATTCTTTATATTGATTTTCCAAGCATAGCTTAGATATGGCACAAGGTCGAAAGTAAGGGGAACCCTGTGAGAATCGAACTCACTACTCAGCCGTAATTGTTCTAGTGAGACAAACTTGTTAACCATTACACCACCTCTAGGTGCCCGTTTGAATTCTTTATAAAAGAGTTTCGACTTCTAAGAAATAAACAGCGTGCCCCTTAATAATTCCATTAATAAGTTTGTAAAAGAGATTTGCCTGTTCTGTTTTCCTTATTATGGTGTGAAAAGTTCCATTGATTCTTTTTTTGGTGTTTATGACACCTTAATGAGAACGGAAGGAAGAGAATCGACCAAGAAAAGGAATTACAGTGTAACCCGGATATAAGAGAAACCCGGATATAAGAGAGATTTCCTCTGGTCCCAAATTAGAGCCATACTTACCTAAACAAAATAGACCAAACCCGGATATAAGAGAAACCCGGATATAAGAGACTTCTCCGGTCCCGCCAACTCTCTTATATCCGGGTTACACTGTATTGAGTTTCGAAGATTAAAAAAATCTTCAATTTTTTTTTTTAAAGACATCATTTTATTTGATATTTATTTTTATCTTCCGTTTTATTTACTCATTTTTTTCTCTCTTTCATTCTTCTTTCTGTCGACCTCTCTCTCTCTCTCTCTTTCTTTCTTTCTTTCTTTCTCTCTCTTGTACCTCTTTCTTTCTATTTCACTTTCACTTCCTTCCTCTCTTTTTTCTCTATTTTGTTCTTGCTCACTCTCTTCTCTCTCTCCCCCTCTTCCTCCTACCCGTCTTCTCCCCCATCTCTTCCGATTTCTCTCTTTTTATTTCTTTTCCCCTCATCCCCATTCTTCTCTCTCTTATCTCCCCATCGTTTTTCTTTCCTCTATTTTTCTCTTTCTTTCTCTTCCTCTCTCTCTCTCTCTCTTCTATTTCTCCCACTTTCCCTCTCTCTTTTTCTTCTTCTTCTTCTCTTTCTCTTCCCCCTCTCTCCCTCTCTCTCTATTTCATAATACAGTCTTTAAAGAGTCCACAGCACTATCTTTATCATTTCAACACTTCTGTCATTTTCTATATCTCTCTTTCGTCTATCTTTTTTCCTCTCTCCATCTTTATCTTCCTCCCCCTTTCTCTTCCCTATTTATCCTCCTCTTTCTCTTTCGTTTCGTTTTCTCCTTGTTATTTTCATATTTCCTTTTCATCTTCCCACCCCCCTGCCTTTACGTAAATAAAATAAAATAGTAATGAGAAATAAATTAACTAATTTTAATCTGATATAAATGAAGCCAATATCCAAGTATGTTGCTTTTTTAAAACTGAAAGCCATTTTACGTATCTCGGGGCGAAAACGCTCTCAGCATTCGACATCCAGTTGTGATGAAATTCGGTTCAAGTCAAGAGAAGCAAAAACTAACGAATATCACTATCAATTATACGGATTATTTTCTTCCTTAAGCAAATATGAAATATTTCGCAGCAACTGTCAAAACTCGGAAAAAATTTGGAAATACTAATTGAAATGACAGTGAATATAGCATAAAGTGCTTGAGCGCTAATTAGACCAACTAATTAAGATGGATTAGAGAAGATAATCTAAAAGACGATTACGTTCTTTGTCATTTTTGGCGAGGGTGAAATATTCAGAAGGAAAAGCAAGAAATACTTTTTTTGCTTCTATCAATTTAATTAAACCAAAACCAAGGAGGCTACAAATTACATTCGGAACAGAACCTACAATTAACTGCTTTTGAAATAAGCAATTATATTTAAGAAGCAATCATAACCAGATTATTATAAGATAGATAGATAGATAGATAATAGATAATGAAAAGACATAGATAGAAAATGAAAAAAAGATATATAGATAGATATATAGATAGAAAATGAAAATAGATAGATAGATAGATAGATAGATAGATAGATAGATAGATAGATAGATAAAAACACTGCTATCCAAACATTTTCACCCAACAAAGAGAAAGAATCAGAAATAACGAAAAAAGTGAATTAATAAAAAGCGAACGAGGGAGAGGAAGAAAAACGAAGGAAAAAGAAAGAGTGATAGAAGAAAGAGGGAGGGAGAGAAAGAATAAAACCGCCTCGCTTTCATTATTTCTTCTGTTTTTGTATTTTATGAAATCCCATCCATTTTTTTTTCAATATAAATTGCTCGAATGTTATTTCTGCTTTTTCTAACGCTAGACATTCTTTATTTCTTATTGGACCAATCATTTATTCGTTTCCTTTTTATTTGAATTGAATTTTTTTTATATGAATTGAATGTTTTCCCCAACACAGATGTGCATCCTTTTTTTTATCAACCGCCTCAACCATTACCAACGATAAGTGACAATGTGTACAGACACTAACGAGGCAAATTTGTTTCATTCTCACCCTCACCCCCGGGTTTTGGCTCCCAATCTCACATATTCGGTTCTCGGTCATGTCATCCCGGGTACAAAGTCAGGAAGGGTCAGTAAAATAAAACCACCGTAGAAACAAAAAGAATTCATCGCTTCACGCTAAGAAGAAAAAAAAATGTCTTATCTTAAGCAGCAAGCGATCGACATTCTGAAAGAGGAAGCGTCAGCAGACAATGTTTTGAATAGGCATTATTTCAGGTCTTTTTATATCTCCTCCTCCCAATCTCTCTCTTCCTCTCTCTTTTATATCTCCTTCTCTCCCTCTCTCACTCTCTCTTTCTCTCTCTCCAGCTCTCTATTTATTTCTCTCCCTTCCTCTCTCTTCCTCACTCTCTCCCTCTCTCTTATATGATATTCTATACACTCCATTTCTTAGACCGTTCTTCCCCCGCTCCTTCTCTCACTCTTTCTCTCTCACTCCTCTCTGTATCTCACTATCTCGCTCTCTTTTTCTCACTCTCTCTTTCTGTCCATGTGTAATGATCTTTGAGTCCATAGGTCGTTGTCTGATGTAAGTCGTTAATCTTTAATTGCAACTATCTCGACGAGTGATACACACACACACACACACACATACATACACACACACACACACATATATATATATCACTTCGAACGTAGGCATATATTTAGAATCTAGATTAATACGAAGATAATGAGATAGATAGATAGTGAGAACTGAATGAGATAGATAGATAGATAGATAGATAGATAGATAATGAAAAGACATAGATAGATAGTGAGAACTGAATGGGATAGATAGATTGATAGATAGATAGATAGATAGTGAGAACTGAATGGGATAGATAGATTGATAGATAGATAGATAGATAGTGAGAACTGAATGAGATAGATAGATAGATAGATAGTGAGAACTGAATGAGATAGATAGATAGATAGATAGATAGATAGTGAGAACTGAATGAGATAGATAGATAGATAGATAGATAGTGAGAACTGAATTAGATAGATAGATAGATAGATAGTGAGAACTGAATGAGATAGATGGATGGATGGATGGTGAGAACTGAATGAGATAGGATAGATAGATAGATGGTGAGAACTGAATGAGATAGATAGATAGATGGATGGATGGTGAGAACTGAATGGGATGGATGGATGGATGGATGGATGGATGGTGAGAACTGGATGGGATAGATAGATGGATGGATGGATGGTGGAGAACTGGATGAGATGGATGGATGGATGGATGGATGGATGGTGAGAACTGGATGGGATGGATGGATGGATGGATGGATGGTGGGAGAACTGGATGGGATGGATGGATGGATGGATGGATGGTGAGAACTGGATGGGATGGATGGATGGATGGATGGATGGATGGTGAGACTGGATGGGATGGATGGATGGATGGATGGATGGATGGTGAGAACTGGATGGGATGGATGGATGGATGGATGGATGGATAGTGAGAACTGGATGAGATGGATGGATGGATGGATGGATGGTGGGGAACTGGATGGGATGGATGGATGGATAGATGGATGGTGAGAACTGGATGGGATGGATGGATGGATGGATGGTGAGAACTGGATGGGATAGATGGATGGATGGATGGTGAGAACTGAATGAGATAGATAGATAGATAGATAGTGAGAACTGAATGAGATAGATAGATAGATAGATAAAAACTCTGATAACCAAACATTTTTAAAGCAGATTACTGAAAACACAA